GGTCATAAACAAAAACAACCAAAGAAAAATTCTGGCCACCGAAATGATGTATTGGAGAAGATGCTGTGGACTAACCAGAAGAGACCGAGTCACGAATGAGGAAATAAGAAGAAGAATGGGGAGAAAGACCGACGTCTTAAAGTACATAGAAACGAAAAGATTGGTATGGTACGGTCATGTTAGAAGGGCGGAAAATAGATGGATTAACAGAGTGACAGAGTGAGCCCGATTGGAAGAAGAAAGCGAGGGCGGCCAAGAAGATCATGGCGAGATGAAGTGGACGAGTCTATGCATCGGAGAGGACTACGAGAGGGAACATGGGATGATCGAGACGAATGGAGGACCCGGTTGATGGAAGGAAGGCAGCCAGAGCTGTAGAATCCTTTATATATATATATATATATAAAGGAAATAGTCTTTACCCTATAACACCCATCCTCGCTCAAATATCGTCTATAATATACAAAGTACTTTGGAATGGCCCTATTTGATCGATGGAAAGGGTTTCAGAGTAAAAGGGTATAAAGGAAAAAATATTGTGTAGGAAAAACAAAATGGGGTTCCATATTAGCACCCTCTCCTCTAATAATTAATATTACTAGCAAAAAAGCAAAAAAATCATAAAACATAATTTTGGCCAACTTTTAGTTCTTAATAAACTCTGCGCGCCGTCGGCGCGTGCAAAAGCAGAAATAAAAAGATTTTCGTTCCGGTAAAAGCGAGAACGCCGATGGACGCTGGTTGACGGCGCCTACCTGCTTTCACTGTGAACTAGCCGACTTGATAACACGCTTTAATTTTTCAAGGTTATAAGGCGCTACTATTTACCCATATACAGGGTGTCTCAGAAATAAGTGCAAGTATTTTAACTGGTAGTATAGTTCGACCCCAGAAACAGGCCCATGATTTTTGTTTGCGAAAAAATGTTGAAATTTTTATTTTTTTCTTGACATTTTCCCGGAAATATTGAAAAACTTTTGAGTGCCGCTTGTTCAGTTTCCGGAAATGTTTATATTATATGTTACCTTCGCTTCGAGAGAATGCAATGTTGCCACCTCCTGCGTTATCCACATTCTGTATGTTTATAATTTCATAATTTTAAATTTTTACAAAAAAAAACTTATATAGTATAGTTCAACCCCAGAAACACGCCTATGAGGTTTTTTTCCCGAAATTTTTTTTTTCAAAATCGGAATTTTTTTAGTTTTTATTTAAAAAAAATAATTTCTTGTTAATATGGCAACATAGGTAGTAGATTAAATTTACAAGAAAGAAAATCCAGAAAAGATTCAGTGGTTCTCACAATTTTAGCAAAAAATCATTTTTTTTTCTGGAAATTTTCAATGTAAAATAACTCCGTTATTTTGGACTTATTTGAAAAACGATAAAGAGAAAATATGTTTCTTTTATCGAGATCTACCACCCCTTAAAATACTTGCACTTATTTCTGGGACATCCTGTTATACGCAAAGTTGCCAACGATGTCAAGAATAGGTACCCAGATCCTCGCCGACTACCGGTAAGCGGCAAACCTGCTTGCACTGTGTTCGCACACTTAGGCTATAACGTATAGGCATAAAAGTAAGCCTGCGGTTACACTGGAGACGGGTCCGTGAGTTTTTTTAAACGTGCGAGCTCTGACGGAATTTACTCGCACGACTATTTTATTGTAGTGGTTACATTAGATGCGCGTTTATGGTGTCGAGTTTGTCGAAACTGACGCCACTACTTTGATGCTGTCTGAAGATTTAATGTTAACATAACTACTTATGAACAGAAGAAAATGTTAGGTAAATGATTTATATGCAAGAAAAGGCAAAGAAAATGAATATGTACAATATTTGGTGAATTAAAACAGCAACCGGTCAAATTTTTTGAATATTTTACAATGTTTCCAGCAACATCAATATATCTATAATAAAAATAAAGCTGGTATTCAAAAATATTTCAATTTTTCGAAAATGTATTGGGCCCAGAGATATAAAAATTCCAGCGCTCGGACGTGCACGTATTAAAAAAACAAACCAGTTTGTTTTCATCCGACCAACGGAAATCGACGTACGTGCACGAACGCGCAAACTCCGATGCAATGTAACCGCCTGCATAGATACCATTTGTTTGTTTTTTGCTGCGTGCACGTCCGAGCACGTACGACTAAAAAAACGTACAGACACGCATCCAATGTAACCACGGGCTAAAGCACTTTTACGCATGTTTACGCATAAGCAAAAAAGTACGAAAATATATTATTAAACTGTTATTAAACTGACATAAAGTGTCAAATTCAACGAGTATAACCATAGTTTCTCGATATACCGGGTGCGTCTCAAAAGTGGCTCAACCCTATAACTTTTTTATTTTTTCAGATAAAAAACGAGATTTGGTATGTTAGTATATGACATAAATTTGGATTGATTAACGTATTCAATTGTTTTTAATCACTTCCTGTTTTCTCCGGAAATGACACTACAACTTTCGTTTTTTAAATGGCACCTTCGGTTTTTTTTTACTTTATTCGATAGAAAATGACATTCTGAATAGAATGTCAATATCATATGTCAACTTTTGACATTTTCTTATATGGTTTATTTGAAATTGTAACATAAGGTTCATAACGATAATCTGACTCGAAATACCATGTGTGTGATACCAAATTATTTGTAAAAAAATGCATTTTCCAAATATGCTAATGAGCCACACTTGTGATGATATATGATATGGTTAAAAATACGATTTGGGCATCTTCTAACCGGCCAGGAAAAAAACATAAAAAAACATTAGACGATCAAATATATTTTTTCAAGACTCCATGATTGTTAGTGTTTTTTACACAGCTATAGCACTCTAGATTGAAATTTCAAATACGATTTCTTCTTCAGAGAGGATGTCAAACGTTGCCATATGATACATCATGCTTCATCGAATGAAGGAAAAAATTACCAAGGGTGCCATTTAAAAACCAAAAGTTGTAGTCATTTCCGGTGAAACGGGATGTGACCAAAAACAATTGAATACGTCAATCAATCGTAATTTATGTCATGTACTAACATACCAAACCTCGTTTTTTTATCTGAAAAAATAAAAAAGTTATAGGGGTGAGCCACTTTTGAGACGCACCCGGTATAATTACATACAAGGTATTATATTAAATATTTTTATATTAATATATAAAATATATAATTTTTGAGCCAAGTAAATGACCTCTAGAGCTTGACCTCGCCAAAATTATCATCGATTGTCATTCCCCAGCCGTCTTTGACGCCGTTTTTTTTTCGATCGTATGCATTGCATTGCAGTTTTTGCAGTTTGGGCTTGCTTTCCAGCTCGAGAATTTTTATCGCCACTAAAATCAGAAAATGGTACAATATCTTCAATTGTAACGACTGGTAGGACCGTCGTAGATGTAGTTTTTTTTTGTTCCCGCATAAAAAGAGTCAAAGGACTATTGTCTTTATTTTCCAAACCATTATTTCCAATCTATTATTTTGTTTCCTTTTTCAACTCAACTACTACTGTCAATTAAATATTGATGTTCCTGTTGTTACTCAAAAGCGGCATTTATGTAAACATTTCTGTCTACAAGCCAGATACTACATCTCCAAAATCCATTTTATGGCACTTGCTATACTTGCAGCTCTACCTTAATATTCCCATATTAAACGTGCTGCTGTCCTAAATCGTATCGGTACGAATTGAATATACAGATTAGCGATAGGAACTATCGAATGGTTTTATTCGAATAAAATCATTCATTCATTTGTATACTAAAAGATATGTGACAAGATATGAGCCACGACTATCGAATGCTTTTGAAAAAGTAATTTAGCATTCGTTTCATTTTTGTGTGCGTCAGTGCATTATTAGTTCTTCCAAATTTTTATAACTTCGCCTTGTAAATACAGAGCTATTTTTGCGTTTATTAAAATATTTAAAATACTAAAATAGTAGTTTTATTTTTTTTAATTGACGATTGTATGCGTGTGCAGGTGGTCAAAATTTTTCCGAAAATTTGTGTGATTTTCCGTAGCCCGATTTTTCAATTACTTAATTTTATATGGTATATGGTCTATATTTTTAATGGGAAATTTTGGGAAGTAGCAATTTTTAAGAGAGATGAGATGGACTTACAATTCATTTTGAAAATACAATATTTGTATTTTAGATGTTTTAATAATATGAATTGGTTGAACTTAATAATTATATTTAAGTAATGTGGTTAAGTAAATGGTTATCGAACTCAAATTTTGGGGTGAGAAAATTAAATTGAAAGTTTTACACGTGGCAATTTAAAAAAAAAGTTAACTTAGTTAATTATGTTTGTATTTTGTTTATGCTAATTCTCTTACATGTAGTTTTTTGCGAAGAAATATTTCATTTATTTTTTAAAGTAAATGCCAGTAAAATAAAAAAAATAATGTGTCCTTATCTTTATCCGACTCCGCAAAAAATCAAAGATGCCGGCTTCTTTCATAGCATTGCCACCGACCGTTTTCGACGAATGTTTTCTTACTAGCTATCGAATTATTCGAATGAATTGCTATCGAATGTTTCGATAGTATTCATTCGATAGTTCCCACTACTAATACAGATAGACTTTCGGCTAGTGAAAATATCCAAATTAATGATTTAGTACTTTTTATTTTAGAAGTGAGGGAATGTTTATATACATGTATGTATGTTACCATGAGGAATGAAGTGCAAAAATCCGTGCCTGATACGCTGGCCTCAGTTGCCTGAAGGAGTCGACTCTGCTGTGAATTCACCATACGCCATTGAATTTAACATTGACCACAACTAGTATTTGAGGAGTACTAGTGTTTGTTTAATTTTTACTAGATAGTAACTAGTGATATATATTATGAAAATCAAAACGTTTTAAAAATTTTCAACATTAAATACAATGTCAGTCCAAGAAGATATTTTATTTCATAATAACTTCACGTTTCAACTGATAGTTATAAATTAACTAGTGAACTACTGTTTTTTTTTTTGTTTTTTAGTGTTCGCAAGGCCGCACAGCATGGCAAGAACGGGAAAGAGGAAGGCGCTGTTCACTCTCCGAAGAAGCGCGGCAACACCGCATCAAGCAGACCGAAGCTCATCATCGATGGATGAAACGCAATCGGGTTAGTTAAAAATATCTTTCATTTTCTTTGGTTACTAAACATAATTATATATCCAAATTGTCCCCAAAATAATGTCATATTTGTGAGAACCGTTATTTGTTAGAGAGTAAAGGATTAATGATTAATTAATTTTAAAAGATTTTTGCTACGTAAAATCTGGTGTTATTTGAAAACTCTTTTGAAATTTGTTATTTGAAAACTCTTTTGAAAATGATTCTAGTAGTAAATTAATAATATTTAAATAAAATAAATAAAAAACCACAGAATACGCGTTCTTATGACCCGATCAAGGAAACATCACCCTAAGGCCTGCATGGAAAGGATTACATTACCACGCAACCAAGAAGGAAGAGGTATTCAAGATATTAAGTTATGCTACTGAAGATATTAAAGAGTTTTGCTTCCGACAAATTAACTATTTAAGACCGTATTAAAAACGAAAACCGAAGCTGTCTGCATCGCATAATTGTAAAAGCTGACAAGAATTTCACACCCCACTCAATCTTAACCAACGGCGCAACCAGAAACCGAAGGTTTCCTCATCGCCATCCAGGACCAGGTAGTTAAAACCCGCAATTATGCCAAATATATCCTGGGTGAGGCAGTGGACTCTGATTTATGCTGAAAATGTCATAGATGTCCAGAAACAATAGACCACATTTTATCAGGCTGTGGGATATTAGCACGAACAAAGTATTTAGAAAGGCATAATCAAGTGGCAGGTATTATTCAGCAGAGCTTACTGACTAAGACAGGAATTAAGGAAGATACACGACCTTCTACTATCAATATGAGCCGGCCAGTACATAATACAAAAGGAGGATCCGAAATATAGAGTATACTGGGATAGGATTATACTTACCGACCGAACAGTGAGTCATAATAGGCCTGACATTACTCTGACAGATATAGAGGAAAAAATTACTTACATGATTGATATATCAATTCCTGCAAATAATAATATACATCAGAAATATCAGGAAAAAATAGAGAAATACAGTAACCTTCGAGAAGAAGTTTAAAAAATATGGGATATGAAAAAGGTAATTGTGCTCCCGATAATTATGTCGTCGACGGGCTTAGTACCACGTCATCTGAAGAATAGTTTAAAAATAATAAATCTATCTGAAGATATTATCTCAACAATGCAGAAAGCCACTTTACTTCAATCTACATCAATGGTCCGATCTTTCTTGGCTAACTAAAAGTGAGAGTTCTTGATAATTAGTTATCCGTTCCTCAACACAGTAGGTACCCAATAAGGTGAAAAAAATAGTAGTGATAACTCTCAAATACTCAAATTAAGATATAAAATATCAATTAAATTCATAGACATATATGTATACTAGACTACTGTTACTAGGGGTAATGTAGCGTAATAGCGCTAATAGCAGTACGTAATGGCAGAGAAAATGTGAATCATAATATATTCAATTATGTAGAAATCTATTAAATCAGGTGTCTTGATTTTTGAAGGAAAAAAATTCACAGTTCTTTACAAAGATGCAACCGGGGGGGCATTGAAAATGATGAATAAAAACGTAAAAATATGATTAGTGTTAATATGAGTGTATTACATACATATGTTTAAATAACGAACTTAACAAAAAACAACAGATTTAAAGATTCACTGAAAAAGTAATAGTGTTAACATTAAATAAAACATTATCAATAATAATTATGCGATCGCACCTATCCGTAAAACAAACAAGCAAAAAAACCTCGAAAAAACAAAATAACATACAAAACATCAGGTTAACATGATGACAGATCATGATCAATGACAGATAAAGAATGCTTAAATTTTCTAAAATTTTAATGGTATTACTTGTGCATTATTGGCCTTATAATTTGTTGGAATTATATCTTTTTTAAATATAATTAGACTTTTTAACGATTTTTAAGTTACCTAGGAAAAAATCTGTACACGTACCTACCAGTATTGTTACAGGTTAATTCGTGAAACAAATGTGTTACATATTATTCGTGGTGTTAGTGGTATTATATTGGAATCAGATTGGCATTAGTGGGGCATTATATGAGAAATTTTGGTATTTAATTTGTATTTTTGACATTACTTTGGCATTAGTATACAGACATTGTCAGCGGTTTACCCCTTGTAGATAATCAAAAAGTTTTTAGATAAAATTTGCTTTTTATGTCAGATCATTTCCATGAAAAATTACATTAGATTTTTATTAAAGATGCTGGTAATTAAAACATTGACTAATAAAGCTTGTCCACTTTAAATAAGGGGTCACGAAATATCCTCCTTGGAGTGTTTGGGTTAAGGGGTGTATAATAAATTAATCGTTGTTTTATAATAAAAACCATAAAACATTTATTTGTGAGTAAAATAATGCAATGGTTAGATATCTCTCCTTTATAATTAGGTGACTAAAAATACACTAAAATAATTAGAAAAAAAATCTTGTAATTATTTAGTAATTACGTCAATATTAATTAATTGACTTTCTAGTCTATTTTATTTTATGTACAAATATATTATTAAATTTTAATCTAAGCATTAAGTAATAAAACACTTTGTGCCCTCTTATATCATAAGAGGTTACGAAATATACTCCTGGTTGCACCCCTTACAGAAAACAGTGTAAGGGGTGCAAATAAATTGTATAATCACTGTTTTTTATAATAAAAACTATAAAATATTTCTTATTTGTGAGATTAAAAAAACAAAACAATGCATTGGTTAAAATAAGTACATTCAATACATATGTATGTGTTATAACATAATATAGCCATTACTATTATACTATTATTATTAAAATAATATGTGTGTAACATATTTCTTTAACGAATTAACCTGTAACAGACATTTATATGCCCAGTATATTTTTGATTAACAAACCAATCAGGAAAAATCCAAAACTTACCGTTATAGGAGGTATAAGATGATTAAACTTATATAATGACAACTGCTTATCGGATAACAAATTAATTACTACTGTCAGCTAGTTCAGCTACTGTCTAGGTAGAATAAACCTAGAGTACCTACACCTACCTATGATGTAGGTAGATTAAAGGTTATTTTGACGTTACCTCTCACTTCGGTGTCACAAGCTGAATTTTTCAGGGATGGAAGTACAGTACATGATATGGTGACCCTTATTCCGAAAGTAGCACAAAATTAGACCGGGTAAAAGGGCACTATCATCAAAAATCGATATATTAATACCACCGTATAGAGAAAACAAATACTTATTTTTTGATCCAGTACACAATAAAGTCTTCGTAGGGAGTAATTTTTTATAATTACTTATAAAAAAACATTTCCATTAGCGCTTATGACCAAAAAAAAAATAAACATGAATAACTCATTTCAATCATGCGAAAATTTGGTTTAAAAATAGATTTTTTTTAATATAACTTTCATTTAACGAAAAACGAAGGCCTAAATGAAAAAAAGAAACAATTTAAAAGTTTCGCTTATGTCTTGACAAGGTATCAAAGCAAACCCCATATTTTTGCTTTTAAACTAATAAAGATATATCAATAAACAATTAGCGATGTAATGGTTTTTGCGCGCGCTGGCCGACTGCCGCCGCTGCGCCGAGATTTCCTATACCCTTGTCTATATGACGTCATGGTGTGGCAAATGTAGCATTTTAATTCGATTTGGGCTCCCTTATATAGGATAACAGAAACATTTTCAATGTTAAAACGCATTATTAAGCTATCACAAACTAGTTTTATTCCAAAAAATGTTTGTTAGAAAGTATCCAATATACAATAAAATACATTTGAAATTAGTTCTACATATTTTTTATAAATTTCAAAAACAAAATGTATATGGGCTTATCATATTGGTCCATCTTTGTTTGTTACTTCTTAGTTAACAGTATTTTGAAATCATCCAACTATACGATGTAGAATGTAGAATGGTTTAGGAGGGCGCGACCTTACAGATCTATTTTGTGTTCCCCTTTCTTGAGTTATAACGAGTTATAACACATCAGACAGTCTTAGTGCTTTGACAAAAACCAGTATCTGAGACGGCTCCACGTACACACATACACTACACACTATACGGTTCTGATATTTAATAAATAATTAAACGGTGCTCAAAATGTATCAAAAGCTAATTTGCCGATTACGTTCAATTTCTAACTTTGTTGTGAACACTGAGTTGATAATAAGCCGTGATTATACAATATGATCGAAAAAAAACGGCATCAGCAATGGCTATAAAATGAAGATCGCTGTCATTTTATATATAAATTTATATGGAAAATGTCATTGATCGTCATTTCTCGGCCAACTGGACGCCGTTTGTTACGATCATACGGTATAGGTATTCCTTTTTCATATTGTACACTACAGTTCTAATGAAAAATAATATTTTTTTACAGAAAAAATCGATTATAATAAGTCAAAACGTGTAATTTTATAAAAAGTTTTGAACGATAATTTAATTTAGCATCAGTACCAATCACTAATCCTAAAATACTCCAACACACTGTTGCCAACTATTTCAATCATTGTTGATCGCTCCCAAATTATTGTTGAAAACTAAAAATTCTTAAAATCAAATTGCAAAATAGTCTTTTTAATTAAAGAAAACAACTACAAGAAAAATTCTTAACAAATAGAAAAAACACTTTAAAGTACATAATCACCCTATGCAACATATTTCCTATGATGGAAAAGGACCGCTTTGCCGTTAATTCCCGCCATGAAAACGTTGCAACGAGTTTAACCGCCAGTTTGACCTTTGAACTTTTGAAAGAGCAGGCGTGGGGATATTTGGAGGGGCTGTAAGCTATAACTCCCCCCCCCCCAACGGGAGTCGGTGCTCCGTGCAAAAATTCAATTTGGCCTTGGGACGATTTTTATTCATGTTTTTGCCGATGAAGAAGAGACCTACATTATAAGGCGGGTTGCATAATATATTTCGTGGCGCAAGGATGGCAAAACCAGAGATTAGATGATATCCTAGAGATACAGTATGCGCCCGGATTATCATTAAAAGAGGAAAAACC